ATCTAAACACCATAATGTTATAAATATGCTCTTCTAGAATGTTCAGGGGCAGGGATCTTGGATCTTGGGTAGAGCTGCAGAGTGCTTTCCACCTTAGCCAGTAAAATTGAGAAAAAAATGGTGTGCATACTTGGCACCTCATTTCAGGATGAAAACCTTTAACCACTTGGGGTAAGACAAGATGCATCTATGGAAAGAAGTTAATCTCATAGGGTGAAGCTCCAAAAGAGACTCAGGGGAAGCAGGTGGCAGAGAACTCCAGATCATCTTCTCCAAAACCACAAGTGGCACTAAGACCACCCTGAGAACACACTAAAAGAACAGCGGGCACGTGGTGTGTGTGGTTAATACATTACCTCCCTCAGAAAGAGGGTGGAGGGAAAGACGGCTTCTCACCAGCTCCGTGCCTCTGACCTGGGGGCACAGAGGGGAGGAAAGGGGTAGGTCTACATCTCAGGGCCAGGCAGGGAGAAAGAGGCGAGAAGCAGGATTGGATGAGACGTGAAGAAAGAAAGAAAGGTGGAAAGCAGAAAATGACTAAGAAAGGGAAAACCAGAAAATAATCCTGCAAAATAGGCTTGGAAGGAAATTATTCAGCAGTCTAAGAAAGAATGCAACCCGAGGAAAAAGCAGGTCAAACACTCCTCAGACAGACCAGGAAGAGCCAGCAAGCCCAGTGCTCGAGAACAGGGGCCTGCCCATTCCACTCAAGTGGCTTAAGCGCAGAAAAGTCAGAAATAGCTGCAAGAAAAAAAATGAGTCCTATTTATATATTAGGGGTGTTTCGATGTATTTTAATTATCTTATACTATCTGTGCTTACACATATAAACCAATGTTTATAAAAATGTCTTTTATATAATCTGAATAAATGTATAAATTAGCTGCATCTTAAATGTATTTATACTTAAATACAGAAATTATTCTGAATATCATGCATCATGATATAAGGTTCTTCATTTCCATAAGGATGTTTTTCCCAAAAAAAAAAAAAACCCTAAATTTCAAAGGAATTAAGTAACTGGGTCAAGGTTAACACCTCAGACAAGTCAACCAGGTCAATAATTGAGATGAGATGCCCATCCAGTCCTGGACCTACTGCTGGTCAGTAGGGCACAGGCTCTCCCTGTGTGAGCACCAATTCTTCACTGTACAGCAGCCCCCCGTAAAGATAAGTGTTTTCATAAGGACTTAAAATCTCTGGCTAGGCGTTGCCAGCTCTTTCTCCTGCCTTCTTTATCCCACCTACTGTCTCTCTCCCAGGCTCTCAGACCTACAAATTCATCACCAGTTTTAATTGATCATCTTATCCACCCTGTTGATTCTATTATTAAATAGCCTTTAAATGTCCTCCTCCCCCCCCATTTCTGCCCGCTGGACTATACATGTATGCAGGACCTAAGCTCAGTCACCCATGGAGGGTCTACTTCAGCTTGCCATGGCCTGGGCACCATGAGACTTCTCATGAACCCCCAACCCCTGTCCCATATTTCAGCCCTTGATAGGTTACATAGAAGCTGTGCTCAGGTGGAGAGATCTCCAGAGCAGGCTCAGCTCTCCCTCTCCACAGATCTCCCACTCCCTCACAAGGCCAAGCCAACCCTGTGTCCTTCACAGTCCCCAAACAGCCCCACGCCACTGCTCCTGAACCTTTACCTTTCTCTCCACTCACAATCATCACAGCCTGCCTTTCAGATTTAAAACCCCCCTTATCCTTAGAGACTTCCATTAAATGCTGCTTCTTTTAAAAGATCTTTGAGCCACAATATTTAATCCCTGCCTCCGAGGAATCCTTGAAGAAATTTGTCGAAATTTTATTCTGTACTGTACCACAGGTATTTGGGATTTCTCTCAGCCTCTTGACTCAAAGATGAGGGGCCAGAGAGCCCTCATCTTCCACCCTCTTCAACAGCAGAAGCCTAGCAAACACTTAGTACTCCATAAGTGTTTGCTAAATTGCATCCAATTAGCGTTCCCAAGTACTAAAACTGTACTGTTTTTCTTTCTTTCTTTTCCCTGTGGTACTAGGGATTAAACTCCAGGACATCTACCCTGAGATACATCCCCAGAACTTTGTCTCTTTTGAGACAGGGTGTCACTAAATCGCTATGGCTGGCCTCTAATTTGCCTCAGCCTCCTACCACAGCCTCCCAACTCTGGGATTGTAGGCGTACACCACCATGCCCAGCTAAAACTGAACTCTTATAAATGACATATTTCAAAAGTATTTCAAAAGCATTCTTAAGAAACCAACATTTTACTTAAGTGTAATCATAGTTGTTTTGGGGGTTACCCAGAGATGCTTTGCAAATATCAACTAAAAGTTTGTTTGTTTTCATGAAAATACCTTACTGTTCTCAAAGACACAGTCACCAAAATTAGTTTATCCCCTAACAGAGGATCACATCTATAGGAACAATCACTGGGCCAGACCTCCATGCTACAGAAGTCAGGGAGAATCATGAGCCATGAACAAGTACATGCTGCAAGAAATAGATTTTTGATAGTCTGAACATAATCATTTTCAACCAGCTAAAACTAAAATAAGTAAGTTTCTTATGATTCATGGAATAACAATCCCAAAGGATTTCACTTTAAAAGGGCACAGTATGTCTAATACAGCTGCTCTGAGGCTTGGCCAAAATAACTATCCTTGCTTGACCTTTTGGGCCTTAAATCAATAACAGACACAGAATACATGAAGAAAACTAAATTGTTCTCACTGTACCAAATGCCCAACAACCAGTTTATCTGCTGACTATCTGTCCATCCATCTATCCACCCACCCATACTAGCCCATGATTTACACATCACTATCATCGTGTTTAATCTAGAAGCACATTAATATGCATTAAGCATTCACTTTGTGTCTGACCCTATCTAAGTGCACCTCACAACAATTCTGAAGGTAGTCACTGTTAAAATTTCTATTTTACACATGAAGAAACCAAGGCTTAGCATGTTCAAGTGACTACCCAAGTTGACACAGCTGGTAAGGCTGGGATTGGAATCCTGCGGCACAGATTTCCCCAATAGCACACTCTTCACCGCCGATGATAATCTACCAGAGCAGGATTTTGTTTCCTTCCTGGAGGTAGCGGAGGCTTCTGGAAGTTACTCTATTTTTGGAAGATACCTGCAGGGCTTATCACAGGTGGAGGCCCAGGTGCTCATACAAATGGAAAACCGGCTATGTTTCCACACTGGTTATACAGTGGGAACTCCTTCTTGATACTGGAATTGAGAAACTAAAGCTGAAGCATGGAGCAATCTGAAACTTGGCCTGAGCACATGTGTAAGAACTCTTCAGGGCCTGGAGGACATGGTCAGAGTATTGTCAGGGGCAGATTCTGCACAAGGCCCTGGAGAGAAGCCTCAATGGCATCATCAGCAAGGTGAAAATGGCAAGTGAACACAACTATTTCATTCAGCATTGCAATAAGGAGAAACATTTTGCCTTGTATAGAAATGTACCCGCACATGACTCAGTACTGCATTTCTACCAGGAAGGAATGTGGTAACTACAATGTTATGAATAAACAACAAATCACTTTCCACAGGAGGAAAAAGGTCTCTATCTACCACAGCCTTCCTCTGCATAGGCACCAGCCAGGATTCTTCAGCAGGGAGGTGTATCTGGTGACACTCATTTGCCAGATTCGTCAGTTGAAGGCTGCATGTCAAACCTTCCCTATTGAAACAACAAAGAAAAAGTCCTGGAAATTTTGTTCAAAACTCTTAATAATGAAGAGGCCTTGTCAGAGGCAATAAAAGCCAGAGAAGTTGGGTAACAGTTGAATCAAGAATGAAATATTAGAGACACTTAGCTCTCATTCCAAAGGGTTGGTTACCCTTACTAATTCTGCAACATGTGGGGCAGATGAAGTTAAAATAACACGCTGTGGAAATCAGCATTTTAAAGATGGGTAAACAAACCACATAGAAACACCTGTGTCTCTCCAAATTACCTCTAGGACTATTTTTTTTCCCCACTGCCAAACAGCACATATATTGAGAACTCTCACAGTATACATCTGGGCCCAGGTGCCAAGAAAAAACATTTTGCTATAAACTCATTTCTGATCTCTGTGTGTTATTGTTGGATGTCTCAGTATTCGCTGCATCAAGAATAAAATAAGTTGCTATTTTTTTTCCCCCAATTCATTTGCCAAACCCTACTTGGAATGCATGTTGTTGTCCCTTACTAATGGAGTTCCTGTATGGGTGACAGTGAACTAACTGAGGCTCTTGGCCTCAAGTAAATGACTCGTTTATATGAAACTGGTAAAGAGGTTAAGGGTTCTTTCTCTACCAAGGAATTTCTTGACCCTTTCCAATGTCAGAACCTGAATCACTTCTTAAAAATGTGCAAGGGAAATGAATATTTTGCTCCACCCTAACAAAATACCAAGTTCCACGGCAGCTCAAAAATTCAAACAGCTAAAACAATACAAGAACAATCGCTTCGAAGAAAATATGTGCCTGTTTATTTTTTTTTTTTTCCTTGCTCCAGTTTTCTGATGTGCACCCGTCGGTGAACTAGACCCGTTTGTAAGTGTAAAGGAACAAATCAGAATTCAAAGMCAATTCCATTCTACCCGCGCGGAATTCAGGAGGGTAATTTCCCCATGGAAATAACAGGCAGACTTATGATCTTCAAATACCATGACTGACACTCTGGATGGGGGAGGTGAGCCCAGCAGAGTGACTCCAGGAGTGAGGATGCGGGGGACTTGGTCCCTACAAGGAACTTTARCAGTGGCAAGGGGGATTTGGAATTCAGTGAAGGAGGATTACAAGTGTTGCCTCCAGGTAAGCTGGGACGCAGGGGAGAGAAAAGTATTGGGATAAAGGCTGCCAGTCGGAACCCRCCTGCAGAAGTGCCACCCCCGCCGTCCCGTCCGCAGTGACTCACTTGGTGCGCTCTGAAGGCCGGCGCGTCCCCGCCCCTCGCAGCCCTAACAAGTGGCCCAGTCCCGCGGGGCCGTGCCTCGGCCTTACCTGCGCAGGTGCTCCCGTCGTAGGTCTCGCACACCCACTCGTGGCACTCACACAGCGGCCCAAAGTAGGTGCCCGGCTCGGTCACGTGACAGATGCAGACGCCGCACTCACACCGGCCCCGGCCGTGGCACAGGGCGCCCCCTGGGGGCTGCCCRGGTGCTCGGCACCGGCGTTCCGACTCGGCCCGGGACAGCCTGCAGGGGGCGCCCGACGAGCTTCTGAGGGGCGACAAAAATCAAGGCCAGGCCGAGGGTCAGACACAGGCACAGCCCTGACTGCTCCCAGCCCAGTTTTCCTGGCCCGTGTTCACCCCACRGGCACGGGTCTGCAGCCTGATCCCTCTGAGAGCCCCTACAAAAACTGTGTTTTTCCCAAACCGGTACCATCCACCTGAGCAATAACCACGATATAAAATATGACCTTCTTCCTGGTGGATAGAGGTGACCTAGCCCTGCCCTTGGTGGTGGGCGCTGAATCTTATATGCACATTTAGATCAAACGCAAATGATTTTTCAGGTCTTCTTAAAAAATGTTCCATTGCTATCTGCTGGCCAGAGGGTGGTTATTTCGTGGAAAAGAAATGAAGATACTGAAGGAGTTACATATTGTGGTCATATAAGACATAAAGCTTTTTAAAATTGGCTTCAAAAAGCAAATGAACTATTTAGCGATTGTGATGCACCTCAAAAGTCTCTTTGAGAATGCAAAACAGACCCCATGCAGATGCTGTGGGAAACAGTGCAGTCTTCTGGGCTCTGAGATCGTTCTGTGCTTGTAAGAGTACACCTTTAACTCGGGGCAGAAATTCCTGCTGATATGTGTTTGCACAAGGATAAATGATATTTTTTTTTCTCCAATGATTGTATTTTTCCAAAGGAAAAGCAAAGGAGAGAGATGAAGCCACACCAGGGTAGACATAAGGAAAGCCACAGCAACAGGTTGAAGACCGTTTATCGCATGCCCAACTTAGTGTCTGCTCTTGGCTTGGGACAGCCGTCTGCAAGCTTCACCCTGCCACGCGAAGCAGGCAGCTCTGCCTTAAAGAACAACAAACCTCACTTACCTCAGAGATGGCGAGAAGCTCTGAGGAACAGCTGACAGCCCTGCGAGGAGCAGGGAAGAGGCCAGCAGCAAGAAGTGCCCGAAGCCCGGGGGACACATGCTGAGCTCCGGGCTGTGCGGCGGGMGGGCTGCACTTCTGCAAGGTGGGGCTCAGTGGGGGGAAGCGGCAGGAGGCAGAGGCACCACCAGCAGATGGCCGGGCAGACGGACCCAGGGACACCCAGGCTCACAGGTCCGGGCTCCACCCGGAGTGGCAATCGCGTTGATGAGCCGCCTGTGAGGATTTGGGCAGGCACTGCTCTGGGCGGGGTGCTGGTGCCAAACCCCTCGAGTGGAGAGTCTAGGCAGGGAAGTAATTAGAAACAGTTGTACAAGCAGATGGTTTATTTTGACATTATATCTATAAAAAAAAAAAAAAGTGTCCTGTTCACAGATTTGAGAAAATCGTTACTTTTTTCAAGTCGAGGCCCCAGAAATGTTTGACAAGAGAATTCTGGGGCTGGCTGCTATTAAAGGAACTGTTAAATAACCCCTCAAGTTGCAAAGAGGCAGGGGGAGGCTGGTGACAGCCAATGTGGACGCTGGAGGAGGAAATTACTTCTTTTTAAGTAGATGCTCCATTTGAGTATGGGGGAAGGGGGTGAGAAAAACTGGCAAATACAACTTTTTCTTCTATTTATTATCCTTTGTTTTAAACTGTGGGTATTTTGTTTCTTTAGTCTCTAAAAAGTGTGTCATGATTCCCGTTGCTCCAGCCAGTCGCTTATCACACCACATTTTTTCTTGACTTGGACAATTCAGATTGTAGCTGTCCCAAATTCACCCCATCCTCCCCCTGATATTGAGTGTGAGAAAACAAAATAAAATATCTATTTATAGGATGAATCATACTGAAAAGAAATCAGTACTAGGTGCTGGTCCCTTAATATATCCTCTCTCTAATTGTGACAATGACCGCAAGTTGGTTTATGCATTTCACATCTATAAGGTGCCAGGCACTGTGCCAGCTGGAGGGGTACAACAGAGAACAGAGACTTGGTCCCGCTCTCTCTGTGTGCTGTTGGCTAATAAGACATTAATCAAAACAAAAACAAATACAAAGGACAAATAGGAGGAAAGAAAAGCTACTTCCTGATGAGATACAGGCACTCAGTCGCCTCTAAGAAGGTGGCATTTGTGCTAAAGCCTGAGAGAAGAATAGAATAAAATGGGGTGATTATGGGAGGGGGGACACATTCTGATTTTATTCCCACTTTAAAGATAAAGAAACTGAGAGCAAAGAGACGAACTAACTTGCTTAAACTCACATAAGAATCTAAAGTGGGATTTCAGCTGAAATCCATGGGATCTCCAAAGCACATGCTCTGTCACATGCTCTGTGGTCACATGCTCTGTGGTCACATGCTCTGTGGTCACATGCTCTGTCACATGCTCTGTGGTCACATGCTCTG